AATCTATTTCTCCTTATTATTATTGACTGGACTGTTACCTGCATGCAGGCTACCTGAATTGAGTAGATTTGGGGAAGGAGATAAAAAGGGTAAAAAGCATACTGTATTGCCTAACTAACCCTGATGAATGTAATCATTATATCCTGAAAATATGTACTAATGAAAAATATCTTTAAAAATGATAAATGTAAACAGAGTGCATATGCTAGATTGAGGTCTCTATCCAGGGAGTGACATGATGAAATAAGAATTTCAGAGGACATGGATAGAGATCAGTCAATGCATTGAAAGGACAGTGCACTGAAGGGCAGGGTCTCATCCCAGTCACAGGTGTGACATAATAGCACAGCAGACCTAATCTTGTAGATCACAGGTAAGATTTTCATGGGGCTTTTCCTTTTCCAAAGTAGACAAATAGCACTCAAGGCAGTGGTGATGATGTTGGACATTTGTGTCTCCCTGCTGAAGAGGTCCCACACACAGAGTGACCCCTTCATCCAGAATCTGCTCCTCTGCACACTGGAGGTCAGAATGCACAGTCCCCATGCTCAGGGTCTCCCAGTTAGGTGGAATGGCGCTGGGCTCAGATCTCCATCATGACTCACTCAGGAATCCTCAGCCCCACTTTCCTGACTCACAGATGAATTGATAAGGAGGTGAGCTCACACAGGAATAAATTTGGGACATCTAATTAATGACATTGGTAGATTCCATCTCTTTGTGGTAACCTTAGAAAATTTATAAAGTGTTTGCTATGGAACTGAGTGGCAAGAAATCATTAGAGTGCTTGCTGCACTGCACTGGAAAACATTTCACCGAATCCCCAGTGTACCAACAGTGACCAAGTACTGCAGGCTTCTGGCTGAAAAAGATTGGAAAGTCAGAGGTAAGTTTTAATTTTAGGTACATTGTCATGATGAGCATAGTGTTTATAGTGGATAATTGTTCAAAAAGGGACATCTGTAATTAGATAAGCATTTGGAATTTAGGAATCACTAAACAAGAGATGAAGGGGAAGCTAGAAAGGAAAAGATAGCCAGCACCTACAGAAGATCAGGTAGGGAAGGGACACTTAGCACAGACAACCTTCTTCCCTCCCCCAGTGAGGCTTCTCTGTGAGGAAGGCACAGGACACACATCCGCATCTCCAGTCGCTGTGGGCTCTGGTCAGTGAGACCTGGTGTCTCAGAGCAGGAGGCAGGAAGACCTCTCCTGACAAAGTTAATGGTGGTGAAGTGAGCTCTCCAGCAACACAGACCATACCAGAGCCGAGAGGTCGGGGAAAGGTGGAGGGAGTTATGCTCGTCTTCATCCTGTGGAAGCAGCACCAGAGCTCCTGTAGGAGGGCACAGTCAGGATGGGAACAAAAAGGGAGTAGGACTGCAGGAAGCTGGTGTAGGATTAGGAAGGAGGGGTCATGGCCATGCTTCCTCCACTGCAGGGAAGGCAGCTTCCCACCTCTCACAGATGTGGACACCACATGAGTGCAGGGGAGGAGACTCCTTTCTGCATCACAAGGACCGTAGACATCCTGACCTGTACGTCACCATCATAAAGAAAAGGAGCCTCCCTAATGCAAATTTGTCTCCCAAATCTAGACTCAAATTCCCCTCTTGAACTGGTGGAATGGACAGCTCCTTCCTCAGACACCTCTAAAATCTCTGCAGAAAGTAGAGGTGTGGCCTAGAATATGAAACTTCTGGGTCTTCCCCTGTGCCTGTGACAGGTCCACATGGTGAGTGTGCTCAGTGTCAGACATGGGTCAATGGGAAGATTAGAAAAGCAGGTGGCTGATAGGAATTTTACCCTTGCTTCCAGGTGTCCTGTCTCAGGTGCAGCTTCAGGAGTAAGGGCCTAGCCTGGTGAAGCCCTTGAAGATTCTGTCCCTCACCTGCTCAGTCTCTGGATTCTCCATCACAACCAGAGGTTATCACTGGAGCTGGATCCATCAGCCTCCAGGAAAGAGCCTGGAGTGGATGGGGAACATAAGTATCAGTGGTGGCACTGATTACAGCCCTTCCCTCAAGAGCCGCATCTCTATTTCCAGAGACACAGGCAAAAACCAGTTCTCCCTGCAGCTGAACTCTGTCACCAAGGAAGACACAGCCACCTATTACTGTGCAAGAGACATGGTGCTTTGATGCAAGCATGAGCCCTGACATAAACCTCCCTGCAGGGAAATCAAGGAACAGCAGGGAGCATGCAGAACATATTGATGAAAACAACCACCTTCCCAGCAAATATGGAGAAAAAGTTGAGAGGTTTTCCCTTCATTTGATGTGCATGCCCTTCAGTGGTCCCAGGCACAGAGCTCCCAAAAATCTCCTATATCCCTGGTGAGGCAGCGTCATGCTTACATGGAATGAGGTTTCTTTCTTTTTTCTTTTCCAACTTCTGTATCACAATCTGTTGCACAGTAATTTTTTTAAAGACTATTGATTACAACTCACTTGACTGCAGAGTCTCCTTAGTTTTTTTTCAGGTGTTTATTTTGTTGTCCAATTATTTTCATAAGAAAGTTTAATGCGGGGCTGGGGATTTAGCTCAGCGGCATAAGCACCTGCCTCGAAAGCAGGCAGTCTCGAGTTCGATCCCTGGTACTGGTAAAAACGAAAAAGCAAAAAAAAAAAAAAAAAGAAGAAGAAGAAGAAGAAGAAGAAAGCTTAATGCTTGATAAAATAAAACGAACTGTTTTTACCATAAGTACCTTCTAAGTAGTACAATAATATATTGTTACTATGTACAATTTCAAACAAAAGATTCCACTTCCAAGGAAAGTGTTGCTGAACGTCCTCACTAAGCTTGATGGAAGCTATAAGAAATTTCCTTGATGGCCAATGTTTTCCTTGACTTGGGAATAAATCAGATAATAAAGAAACATAAGTCAAACTTTCAGTGAGCTGAGAACCATGAAAATGCTGTCAGAAGCTCAGTCATCTGGACCTTGGGAGTCTGCAGTAGATACAAGAGTTCATCAAGCAGCATAATACCTTGTGACTGTTTTCCCTATAGTCAGCTGGGACAGGTCCTGTAGGTTCCCAGTTGGTCTATTATTAATAAAAAGCTGTGCCCTGTTGTGTCAGAACCTGGTAAGTGACTCGTAAGCCATTCTTTATCAGCTCATGGATTCCATCACCATCAGTGATTAAAGCTGTATGGAATTCCTTACCTGCCACATTACTTTCCAGTTCTTCTCCAGCATAAGAAATAAGAGGAGAGATTTCACATTGGATCTGTGCCTCACTGGCATCATTCAAGTGGGGAATCGCTGGAAGGGGAGAACCATTTCCACCTGTGAGCACTGCACACCCAGCAGTGGTGTAGGGCAACAAAGCACTTGGGTTGTCCTTCCCACTGTGACTGTCTGAATCCTTTAGCTGGGAAAATCCATCCTCCGATAAACCTTCATACACAGCAAGCTTCTCTGCAATCTGGAAGATGTCAGAAGCTACTTTTGGCAATTTATTCCACATGACTTGTCTGGCATAATTAACTCACCCCAGCAATCCACATATGGAATCTTCCTGTGAGCCAGATGGCGCTAAAGCTGAGGTTCATCAACATCAACAGCATCTCTCAGACATGGGACAATGAGATGTGATTGGTGATGCAGCCCACACAGAACAGCACTTGTCCATCCGAGCTCCGTACCTGAGATGTTGCCAGGGAAATTTTGCTGTATTCTACCACCCATTATCCGCCATTCACGGAACAAACCACTCCACCTGGCTCTGTAGTGTTATCTCCTCTATCATCTTTGCTCCACAGTCTGCCCTTTCTCAACATGGAATTCAATAACCATTGGCTTCACTTTAACCAATGCATCATCCACGTAGCAGATGCAAGTGCACCAGGTGCCTTTTTGTTCCACATCCTCCACCATATCCTGGGCTGCAAAACCCTGAAAAAAACCTCATTTCCATTTGGGGCCATAGAAATTTTGTGCTTTTCTTCCAAAGGAATTTTCCCATTAAAACTCATAGCAGGCAGCATGCCCTGATCAAAATAGATTACATTTTCTTTTTTCAACCAAAGTGCTTGTGTTTTATGAAGAACTCCTTTGACACTTCTGTTTTTCTGCCACTGGCCCCTATCTAGCATGGACTGATCCACTTGAGGCCATGATAGCTTTAGCTAACAGCTGTAGCTTCAGGACATACTCTGCTAAATCTGAAAATGTCTTATGGGATAGTGAACCCACATCACACTTCCTTCTGGGATATGCCATTCCAACTGTTGCCCTCTGTCCATCTGCTAGCAGGGGAACTGCTCCTTTGTTCTAAAAAATCTGGAAAAGTCACTGTCTCAGGCCTGGCACTGATCTTGGTCCCTAGTAGCCCCGCCACCACCACTCCAGGGGCAGTTTTCATTGGTGCATCTGCTTTCTCATGCTAAGAGAACTAGTTAAATCCTTCAGTTGGTGTTTGATACATCTGTGCATACCTGCTTCACCTGATCTGAATCAAGGCTGTCTCCCAGGCAACCTACAGCCTTCCTCAATGCTGCTCAACCTGGATGTGCACAGGGGGATGCATCCCTGAACCACAGATTAAGTCTACAGGTAGAGAAATAGGAGCAAATTTTAACTACAGGAAAGAGGCTCTGTGAATCTCACTGCGCATGCCCAACTCTAATCTGCAGATCACAAGGGAGGACCTGGTTCCCCTGGACTTCTCACACCATATATCAACACTTGGTCACACTGAATCACTCATTTGTGTTTCTGTAATGAATTCAACATTTGTACAATGGAGCAAACTCTGACACCTGTATAATGTATTTAAATATGTAAAAATGAAATAAGGCTATGAATTAGACTTGAGTGTCATAACAGAGTTACATGAAATTCTTGTTTTACATAATGATATTATTTTCACCAAACTTGACCTGCAGACTTACATGAATCTGCTACTGAAGTTTTTCTACTTCCCGGCCTCAGAGCTCTCTATATAGCAGGAAGCCATGCAAATAGAGCCTCCCTGTCCCAATGTAAACCAGCCCAGCCCTCACTCTGCAGCTCTGCAGAGGAGCCCAGCCCTGGAGTCCCAGGTGTTTCCTTTCGGGGATCGGGACTGAGCACAGACAGCCCACAATGGAGCTTGCGCTGAGATGGGTTTTCCTTGTTGCTGTTTTAAAAGGTAATCAGTGAAGAACAACAGATATTTAGTGGGAGAGAGTGGGATAAATGGTAGACATATGTGACAGTTTCCTGAGCAAGATGTCTCTGTGTTTGTAGGTGTCCAGGCTGAGGTGCAGCTGGTGGAGTCTGGGGGAGGCTTGGTGCAACCTGAGGGGTCCCTGAGACTCTCCTGCGTGACCTCGGGATTCACCTTTAGCAATTACTACATGCACTGGATCCGCCAGGCTCCAGGAAAGGGCCTAGAGTGGGTTGGTTTAATTAGAAACGCGGCTAAGAGTCACACTACAGAGTACGCTGCATCCGTGAAAGGCAGATTCACCATCTCCAGGGATGACTCCAAAAGCACACTGTATCTTCAAATGACCAAACTGAAACCCGAGGACACCGCTGTTTACTACTGTGCAGGAGACACAGTGAGAGGACATCAATGTGAGCCCTGACACAAACCTCCCTGCTGTGGTGCTCTATCCCCACGCTATCCCCAGAGCCCAGCCTGTTTTGGACTGCCACACCTAGCGATCAGTGTGCAGAGGAGGGGCTGGGCAGACCTGGGGCACCTGCATCGGCCTCCCTGTGTGTCTAGAGGACTGTGAATGTCTCGGCGGGTGGTGGACCATTACGGGTTCTGGAGGCCCTGCAGCCTGTAGTGAGTGCTCAGCACACTCTGCCCAGAGCCCAGACTGTTTGGGTCCCTCCAGGCTTACAGGTGCAGTGAAGTGGAGAGGTGGGTTAGAGGAGTCTACATCTGCCTCCACATCCCGGGTGCGATTGGAGAGCTGTGGAGCTTCCAAGGGGCAGGTGGGCACACAGTGTCCCTGAGGCCCAGCTTGTCTGGAACTGTGGAGTTCTGAGCAGGCAGAGGAGGGCCACTGGTTCTGTAGGCCCAATGGCTTGGGGTAGCGTGGTGCCAGAGTCTCAGTAGCTCCAAACATAGAAGGGGATTTTCAACAGATCCTGAGGAAGCTTTCAAATAACACTTGAAACACAGAAATATAGGAAAATGACAAAATGAAAGACCAAATTACAACCTCAAACCTCCAGCCCATCTCAAGAAACCCTAGGAGCGATGTATATAGAAGAAAATATATCCCATCCACCTCATATATCAGACACAATAGCCACTGAAATTGACAAGCAACTCCAGGAAGCTTTAAAGAAATTCAAACTCAAAATAATCTCCCAGATAAAAGAAGAAATGATAAAAGAAATGAAAGAGATTCTAAATATATCTAAAGAAAACAAAGATTAAAAATTGGAGGAACTAAACAAAAAGATAGAATCCCTAGACGAGCAATATAAGAAACAAACAGAATACATAATGCAGATGCACAGAGATATACAGGAAATAAAAAACTCCACTGAAAGTTGTAAAAACCGCCTTAATGAAAGTGAAGATAGAATTTCAGACCTTGAAGACAGGATTGCAGCTAGTGAACAGGAAAGGAAAGTTCTTTTGAAAATAACAAGGAATCAGGAAACAACAATTCAACAACTGCAAGATGATGCAAAGAAGAATAACATAAGAATGATAGGGATTAATGAAAGAGAGGGAGACAACATGAAGGATGTCAGGAGGATATTTAGAGAAGTAATAGCTGAAAAATTCCCAAGCATGAGATCAGAAACTGACATCAGGATCAGTGAAGCATATAGAACTCCAAACATTCATAACCAAAATAAAACTACACCCACACATATAATAATCACCATCCCAGAAATCCAACACAAGAATAGATTATTAAAAGCTGTCAGAGAGAAAAGACAGATCACTTATAAAGGAAAACATATCAGAATCACAGCAGACTTCTCAGCACAAACGATAAAGTCAAGAAGAGCATGGAGTGAAGTATTCCAGATCCTAAAGCAAAATGATTTCCAACCTAGACTGATATATCCTGCAAAACTATCATTCAAAATAGATGGTGAAATACGATACTTCCATGACAAAGAACAGCTGAAGAACTTCAGGAACACCAAACCAACCCTGCAAAAAATGTTGAAAGACAGTTTAGATACACAAAGGAAAAAACCACTAAGCAAAGCAAATAATTAAACAGAACAGAAAGATAAAGATGCAACAGCAGAGAGATAACATTCCTACAATTAACCAGCATTTAACAGTAATAACCATTAATGTAAATGGTCTCAATGCACCAATCAAAAGAAACAGACTAGCAGAATGGATCAAGAAACAAAATCCAACCATATGCTGTTTACAGGAAACCCATCTAACCCAGAAGGATACTCACAGACTGAAAGACAAAGGATGGAAAACAATTCTCCATGCAGCAGGAATCCAAAAAAAGGCAGGAGTAGCCATTCTGTTTGCAGACAACGTGAACTTTAAACCAACAATGACCATAAAGGACAAAGAAGGTCACTACATACTCGTAAGGGGAAAACTCCAAGAGGAAGAGATAACTATCTTAAATATATATGCACCAAACTCCAGAGCACCCAGTTATATAAAACAATTATTAACAGAAATGAAAACTCAAATTATCAGTAACACAATTGTAACAGGAGACCTTAATACACCACTGACACCAAGGGACAGATCAACCAGACAGAAAATGAGCAAAGAAATAACAGAACTGAATCACACCTGTGAACAAATGGGTTTGATAGACATGTACAGAATGATCCACCCAACAACATCAGAATACACATTCTTCTCAGCAGTACATGGATCATTTTCTAAAATAGACCATATATTAGCTCACAGAACATATTTAAGCAAATGCAAAAAAGTTGAAATCATCCCTTGCATATTATCGGATCATAGCGCTCTGAAATTAGAAATTAATGACAAAAGATACTGCAAAAATTCCACAAACACATGGAAACTAAATAACACACTCTTGAGTAATCAGTGGGTCACAGAAGAAATTAAAGAAGAAATTAAACAATACCTAAAAGAAAATGAAAATGCAGATACAACTTACCGGAATCTGTGGGATGCAATGAAAGCCGTTCTGAGAGGAAAATTTATTGCACTGAGTTCCGACATCAGGAAAACAGAATGAATACAAATAAATAACTTGATGCTACACCTCAAACAGCTAGAAAAAGAAGATCAAATCAAGCCCAAAGCCAAAAGAAGAGAGGAAATTATAAAAATCAGAGCAGAAATCAATGCAATAGAGACTAAGAAAACAATCCAAAGAATCAATGAATCAAAGAGTTGGTTCTTTGAAAGAATAAATAAAATCGATAAGCCCTTAGCCAACCTTATTTTAAAAAGGGAAGAAAAAGCTCAAATTCATGCAATAAGAAATGATAAAGGAGAAATCACTACAGACCCAATTGAAATACAGAGGATCATCAACACCTATTTTGAAAACCTCTACTCTCAAAAGTTTGATAACACAGAAGAAATAGACAGATTCTTAGAAGCATATGAAGTACCAAAGCTAGATCAAGAGGATATAAAACTGTTGAATAACCCAATCTCTGCTAATGAACTTGAAAATGTAATTAAGGCCTTACCCACCAAGAAGAGCCCAGGCCCAGATGGATTCACTGCAGAATTCTACAAGAAATATAAAGAAGACCTAATGCCGACACTCCTCAAACTATTCAATGAAATTGAAAGGGAAGCAATCCTTCCTAAGTCATTCCTGGAAGTAAATATTACTCTAGTACCAAAACCTGAGAAAGACCCAACTATAAAAGAGAACTATAGACCGATCTCCCTAATAAACACAGATGCAAAAATCCTCAATAAAATATTGGCAAATAGGATCCAGCAAATCATCAAGAAGATTATACACCATGACCAAGTGGGATTTATCCCAGGAATGCAAGGATGGTTCAACATACGCAAATCAATAAATGTAATCTACCATATCAATAAAGCCAAAAATAAGAATCACATGGTCATCTCTATAGATGCAGAAAAAGCCTTCGATAAGGTCCAACACTTATTCATGATAAGAACTTTACAGAAAATTGGAATAAATGGTCTTTACCTCAATATAATAAAGGCCATTTATGACAAACCAACAGCCAGCATCATACTAAATGGCCAAAAATTGAAAGCCTTTACTTTAAAATCGGGCACAAGACAAGGATGTCCTTTATCACCACTCCTATTTAATATAGTACGGGAAGTACTAGCCAGAGCAATTAGGCAAGAAAGAGAAATAAAAGGGGTAAAGATAGGAAAAGAAGAAGTTAAATTATCATTGTTTGCAGATGACATGATACTCTACATAGAAGACCCCCTAAACTCCATTGAAATACTCTTAGATACAATAAATAAATTCAGTAATGTGGCTGGATACAAAATCAATACTGAGAAATCAATAGCATTCCTATACACGAACAAAAAAATACAGAGAGGGAAATAAGAGAAACTGGACTATTCACATTAGCAAGCAAAAAAATGAAATATTTAGGAATTACTCTTACGAAAGAAGTGAAAGTCTTATACAGTGAAAATTATAATACACTGAAAAAGGAAATTGAAGATGATCTCAGAAAATGGAAAGACATCCCTTGCTCATGGATAGGAAGAACACACATTGTGAAAATGGCCATTCTCCCAAAACTGTTATACAATGCAAAGCAATCCCAATAAAAATATCATCAACACACCTTATAGATCTAGAGAAGTCACTCCTAAAATTCATCTGGAGCCAGAAGAGACCTAGAATAGCAAAGGCAATTCTAAGCAGCAAAGGCAAAGCAGGAGGCATCACAATCCCTGACTTGAACTTATACTACAAAGGAACAGTAGTAAAATCAACATGGTATTGGAATCAAAACAGAGCCTAAGATCAATGGAATAGATTAGAAGATACAACCACAACTACAAACACACTCAACCACCTTATCTTTGATAAAGGAGCCAAGCAAGGTCACTGGAAGAACAACTGTCTCTTTAATAAATGGTGCTGGAAAAACTGGCTCTCCATTTGCTGAAAACTAAAGCTAGACCCGTGTCTATCACCATGTACTAAAATAAAATCTAAATGGGTCAAAGATCTGAATATTAAAACAGAAACACTAAATCTATTGGAAAACAAATTGGGTAGAAACCTTGAAGACATAAGAGTAGGTAGAAAATTCATGAACAGGACTCAAAACGCATGGGAAATACTTCCCAGAATACTTCTCACTTCTTATTAAAAAGTTTCTGCATGTCAAAAGAAATCTCCAGCATAGTGAAAAGAAAACCCACAAACTGGGAAAAGATTTTAGTGAACTCTCTCTCAGACAAGGGCCTCTTGTCTAAAACATATAAAGAATTAAAGAAACTCAGACCTCCAAAATTCAAAGATCCAGTCCAAAAATGGGCATCTGAGATGAATACGCAATTCTCAGATGAAGAAATGCAAATGGCAAATAAATACATGAAAACATGCTCATCATCATTGATCATTAGAGAAATGCAAATTAAAACCACACTGAGATACCATCTCACTCCTGAAAGAATGGCCAGGATCAAGAAAACC